GACGCTGGGGGCCTGTGTTATGTTGTAGTGATTAAACTGCCGCTTCTGATGCTGGCAACCCATGTTGGAGCTCTGGTTCAAGTCATAATTGCTCCCTGATAATGCACCTGGGAAGGCAGCAGATTATGGTCTAAGTGCTTGGGTCTCTGCCACCCAAATGGGAGACCAGCATGGAGTTCCTGGCTTCTGGCTCCTGGCTCCTATCTGGTTCAGGCCCTGTCACCTGGTCTTTGGCCTTGGCCATTCCTGGCTATAATGGCCATCTGGGGAGTGAACCTGCAGATGGATGGAAAATTCTCTCTCTTTCTGTCTCTAATTTTTTTTTTTTTTTTTTGGACAGGTAGAGTGGACAGTGAGAGAGAGAGACAGAGAGAAAGGTCTTCCTTTTCACCACCCCCCCCCCCCCATGGCCACTGCGGCCGGCGTGCTGCGGCTGGTGCACTGCGCTGATCCGAAGCCAGGAGACAGGTGCTTCTCCTGGTCTCCCATGGAGGTGCAGGGCCCAAGGACCTGGGCCATCCTCCACTGCACTTCCGGGCCACAGCAGAGAGCTAGACAGGGACTAGAACCCGGTGTGCTGGCACTGCAGGCAAAGGATTAGCCTATTGAGCCGCGGCGCTGGCCTCTAAATCTCTTTTTGCAGCTCTGCCTTTCAAATCAATAGATCAATCATTTTTTTAAAGGAGGCTGGTCAGTTTTAATAATTAATGTAGAACAAAATCAAATCACCTTAAATGGAAGGAACTGTTTATTGGTGGAGTGTTTGTGCAATCCAGCGTTAGTCAAGGCCATAGGAGACTTTGAACCCTACAGATCTTCATACAGTCCAGAGTGGATGAGAGAGTGCCCCACTGTGAGGTCTCACCCCATGATCATCCATGCACATCCCTCCTGTAGCTGACAGCAGATTATAAAAGACTACCTAGAAAGACAGAGGACCTCCTAGAATTCCTCTCCTAACTCTTTCTTCGAAATCCAGTAACTGGAAACTTCCTTGAATATATCTCAGTTTTGTTTTTAAACAAAAGGACAGATGACACATCTGTAGCAGATGCTGTGGGTGCCCTGCACACATTCCCTTGCCCTTCTCATGCTCAGTATGTGCTGCCGACACCTGTGGCTCTCCACCCCAGGTCTTTCCCTCTACCAGTTTCTAGAGCAGTGATTCCTTCTTGCTAGGGCAGCAACACAGCTGTTCCTTCCCACTGAGCTTTGCCAGCACCACACTCTGAGGGCTCACAGCCTGTCTGATTTGTCACCATAGAATTCTGTATGACAAGTGATCCAGAACCAAGGGATCCACTTCATAGTAGTGGACTTCACAATGGGCAGATGCCTATGGGATATACTTATTATATACTTCATCATCAATAAATGTTGCCTGATAAATCTCTTAAAGGTCTTCTAACAGCCTAGCCTAACCTCCCGCTAGGCAGCCAGGGGGAGGTTCTGTTGGATCAGTGCCATATCCTTCAAAATGTGGCATGTACTTTGAACCTAAGGTCAAATTATATTGTGTCCCTAGTGGCTGGATGGAGCATTCACTCCCATACCTAGTAACTGATGTATGATTGAGCTAAATTTATCAGGGGAGTTTTTACTTGTTTTGGTGGTTGGTTTAAAAGAAGTGGGCCAACAGCATCTTGGAAGATGGAACTCTTCTCAACACATACTGATAGGTAAGGAGAAGCTGCTTTTTCTTCTGACTTTGGATTTAGTGTGTAAAGATAATGCTTGAAACACTTACAGTCATCTGGTAAACCAACGTGGACACTGAGAATGGTGAAGAGATGGAAGAAGCTGGGACTTTGATGACATTATTGAGCCTTTGAAGTTATCATGGCACTGCCTTCCTTGGGATATTTTGTTACATAAGATAACAGTGTTAGTGGGTAATTTCAGGTGATATCCATGGCAGACTTTGCTGGGTAGACTTTCCTCCATTTATTTCATCCTATGCCTTCCTCTATGTTAATGGTGCCTGTTTTCCATTAGAGAGTCCAAAAATACCTCTTTGGTACTTTCCCAGCCTTCCTTGCAGCTAGACAGGGACATGTGACCCAATTCTGGCCACTGAAATTTGTGGAGCAGTGTGTTATGAGCCTTCTGAGAAAGATATTTTTCCTTAACAAACAATGATGCTTAGGATACATGCCGCTCTTCTTTAACCAGATGCTGCTGAGTGTGTATGTGACACTGGAACTATGACTGCCATCTACGTCTATTAGTGGATGGCTTAAGGAAGAAACCTATATGAGACTGACAGAGTCAAAGACTGGAACAGCCCAGGTCTTCGGTGATAAATAGGATCTGTGCACTGAACTTGGACTTGCCCTGTCTCTTAACTTCCCTTTATTTGTGAAAACAAATGTGATTTAAAAAGTTTTGTGTTGAGTGTTTTCTCCTTAAAGCCAGAGACATCTTAACTGAAACATTTGCCACCGGCATTGCAGGCTGCAGCTTTTACCCACTTCGCCTCAGCACTGGCCCCCAATATTTATCTTTTAATTCCATTTTTCACCAGCATTTTGAAGTAACCTTGCATTACAATGGTTTGGAAAGATGTTAGTAGTATTTCATGATACAATCACACAGACTATTTCTGCGACGCCACATGAGTTTTAGAAAACCGAGTGTACAGTAACAGCCACTGAAGTTGGAGAGTGCGTAGAGACAGGGGAAAGAGGTGGTGAAACCCAGAATTGCCCAAAGTGTAATTCCCTAGGGGGAATTAACAGAGAGAAACGCAGTTCCAGGTGTCCGAAAGACAAGGAATTACTATGCCATGAGGCTGCAAATAAAGGTGTTATAGACCATTGTGGCCCAAGGCTAATCAGACTGCTCCTGGACTTTTTCAGGATTAATAATTCCCGGCATCATGTAACAACATGAAATAAGAGCTAAGGTTATCTTAACCACCTTGCTTATCTGGTAAAGGTTGGGATGACCTCTACGGTGATCTAGAAGGCAAGATGGCGGTATGTTCAAGACGGCCAAGTTATGTCAAAAAGAATCCTCCCCATATGAGATGGATCATGAGATAGTCCTGAAAATTACGAAGACATCATCCCTCAGTGTTGCTGGAATTTGGAGAAACAACAAAAAGATTGAAGGAGCTGCTGTACTCCTGCAGAGGTTTTCCTTCAGTTGATAACAGTTTCAGAATTGAATTTTTATAAAAAGAATGAAATGTCGCCAAAATCCATACCTCTCAAAAGCTCTTAGTAAAAATAGACTGCAATTTGTCTAAAACAAAAGCAACTGCGCTTTTTTCAAATTTAAGACAACAACAACAACAAACCTAGAAAGTAGAAATACTACATTTCTGTTTAGTCCAAGTGTTAAACTGCAAACAATATAACATTTGGAATTTAAGCTTCAAGGACTATTTTCCTTTAAATATAATATATGCCCATAATATATTGGTATAATATACAATTCAATGGTGTTTCCAAGTGTTTGTGGAAAAATGAAATGAAAAGGTAAGTTTATTTTGTTGGGAAAAAGTTTTGAAATCTAAGCATAAGAGAGGGATCTTCAAAAATTTCATGGAAAAAGCATTTATGAAAAACTACTAAATTCCATTTTCCATGTACTTCTTGAAGTTCCGTAATTTTTGTCTAAAAAGAGGTAACAGAGAAAGATATTGCTGGAATTGTACCACTGATGGGGAAAAAAAAATCCAACATTAGTTTTGTTCCTTTAGAAGTTACTTGGTTTTTCTGGAGGTTCTTGGTGGAACTGGAACTATTCCTTACAAAATACGCTTCCCTCTGCAGAACTGTGGCCATCTGTTCACATGAGAAAATTCTGTGTTCCCCTAATCTTCGGGGTGTACTTTTGATAGCATTTTGTGGAACCAAGGAACAAAGGAACTGCCTTATTTTCTAGTGGGAGGCCAGGTTGCCTGAGTCGGATAGCCATCCCTTTAGGAAGCTAAGTTGGCCCAGGTCTCCCTTTGCCTGTGCATCAGCGCTCCCCCTCCTTCAAGTTCTGGCGGCTCCCTGATTTTGCCATTCTTCTGGCAAGTGAGCCTGAAGCTGATTCATGAATGCCACCTTTCACCTAAAGTTCACAGAGCAGCAAAATAATATGTTGGGTTAAAAAAAAAAAAAAAAACGCCCTGATACTAGGTTCATGAAAGTCTCCTTTCTTACAGCACACTGCAGCTGTTGTTTCAAGCGTTTGTGTTTTGGTTTGTGTGTGTGCGCTTTGTTCTTCGATTCGTTTGGCGGCAGGCAGGCAGTCTACCTTTTTCCTCCTTCCCTAGGGTGGGCACGCTTTAAAACACACCTTTAGAGACCTAAGTAGAAGCAATAATGTGGAGTAAACTTTACCTTTTGGAGACAAACACCAAACCTGTACAGCGGGTGCATTTAGAGGAAAACGAATTATACGCTGGGCTGAGAGATGCCAAGGCAAGAGGAATAATCGCGGACGTGCACTGAGGTTTTGTCTTTTCCTGTTCCACGTATTTCCAAAAGCCACTGCGTTTTGCAAAGCTCGGCATAAATTTGTGCAGGACCAGGATAACTAATGTAAGCCGGTTGGGAACGAAAAGCACCATGCATAGTACTTCACAGCCTCTATCATGTGGAGATTCGTACTAAGACTAGGACGCTTCGTCGTTCCGCCGGGTGAGCGGCGGGGGCGGGGTGGGGGGTGGACAGAGGTGGGCTCTCCTCCCGAGGGCCGCCGTGCTTCCGACACTACCCGGCCGGCCGCTCCTCCTCCGTCTCGGCCGCAAAGCCCCGCTCCCCTCCTCCGCCAGCCGCAGCCCCGTCCCGCCCCCCACCGCCCCGCCGACCCTGTCCCCGCCCCGCGCCGGCCGCGGCCAGCTCCGCTCCCTGGCTGCTCCGCAGAATGACCCTTAGTAACCCCGCCCCGCCCCGGGCCGCCTGCGCCGCGCTCCCCGGCCGGGATTCGATAGGTCCATCCCCGCACGCGCCACCGCCCGCGGGCCAATGGGCGGCGGCCTCCGTGCCTATGCAACGAGCGCCGGCCGGGGGTGCGCGTCTTGGGCGGTTCGGCTCAACAGACGCTGGTGCCGGCGCCGGAGAGCGACGCTGCGGTTGTCCCCGTGGCCGGGGTTGGGACGAGGAGGCGGCGGGCTCGACAGCGGCCGGTCGTCCCCGCGCAGTGCGGCCGCGGCGGCTGCGCCAGGGGCTCCAGGAGGCGGCGCGAGGCGTGAATGCTCTGGGGCGCAGCCGGGCCTGCGTGGGCCCGAGGCCCAGGGCACCGGGGCCCCGGCGTTGCGGTGAGTGCGGCGCCCGTTGTGGGAGCGGCGGGGGCCGTTGGGTGGCGCGGCCTCCGCGTGCGCCAGGGCTGGGCCGGAGGGGGCGTCCGGGCCTGAGGAGCCTGGGGGCCCCGCGTGCCTCAGGTCGCCGCGGAACCTGGCGCCGGGGGTGTGTGCACGCCGGCGACCCGCGGCGTTGGGGGCGGCTTCGGCGCCGGGGGCCCGGCTGACCGGAGGCTCGGGCCGGAGGGGCCCACCTGAGCCGAGCGGCCGCAGCCTGCGGGGCGTCCCGGGGAGCGAGGATGCCGCGGCGCCCAGGGGCCGGGGGCGGCCGCTTGGTTGAGTGAGGGGCGTTCTCGCAGCGTGGGTGCGAGGCAGCGCAGCCTCGCGCCGGCACCGGCGGTGGCCGCGGAGCTGAGGAGGAATCGGCGTGGGCAGGGGCGGCCTTGGGCATCGGTTGGGGACGTTGGCGGCGGCGGCGGCGGCGGGGCTGCGATGGGGACTGGTGTTTGGGGTTGGGAGTTGTAGGTTTACTTTTCCCGAGTGCGTTGTAATTACACACTAGTACGTCATGGGGCGTGTGACACTTTGAAGGGAGCGCTTGCTCGCGGCCGCCCGGTGCAGTGGACGCGCTCCGGTCCGTTTCGCAGATGAGGATCCTCGAGGCACAGATTGGACTGGTTCGCCCAGACCGTCTGGTTTTTAATAAAATGTGGTCGAAGCTATTTCATACAAGGCCCCTCGATCCATAGAAAGAACAACATCTTTAAATTTATATGGAGAAGCAGAAAGGGGAATAGGGGCTTTGTGAAAGCGGTTATTGCCGAAGCAGATGACAAATAGCTGACATTTATTGAGCCTTTATTGTATGCCACGCACTGCCCTAACAGCTTTATGCCCAGTGTCTTTTGACAGCCCTCCAGGGCGGTGTAGTTATTCCCATTTTACAGCGGGGGAAACTGAGGTTTACCCCGCGTTCACTTGCCGCAGATCCTGGCTAGAGAGGAGAGAAGCTGGCATCAGGAAGGCCTGCCTAAATCCAGAGCTCTTACCTCTGCTCGTTCGCTGTCTGCATAGTTGCCACGGTGGAACGGAGTCTGGGGGCGCAGGGGCGCTTGTAGATTGGCGACGCCTTCCATCATGGTCCTCAGCCTGTTTTGTGCCTCTAGGTGAGTTGAAGGGTGCGGCTGAGTTGCTCCTGAGGGTGTCCTGGAGGAGGGTATTGTGGGAAGACTCGCTGTGACTCCGGGTCGGCTGCAGACTTTCTCTTACCATGTGCAGTTCTCACACTTAGGGATGAGTGAAGCTTCTCTGTCACTCTGGCATGTGTTTTTGTCTTTAGACTTTGGTTTCTCTCATGTATACAGAGTGCTGGTACTATAGGAGATGCATCTTGGGTGTAGGGCAGAGTGGCCCATGGCACCTGAGAGTTGAAATGCCAAGTCATCTCGTGTCTTTGGGTCTCCGTTACCGGATCTGTAAGACATCTGACTGGATGACTTAAAGCTCTCAAATACATTCTGAGTCTAAAGTGTCCTCCTTGAAGGTAGAAAGGGAGGTTGGGAGAAAATCACTCTGCTGGGTTTGGGGTGGGTATCCCATCTTAAAGCCTTAAGATCAGTATCAGTTGCTTATGTGCCTTCCTGCTTTCTGGTGACTGGTTCATCCCTCGTTCCACAGTTGCTCCGCTGGAGCCTAACGCCTCTGTAGGTCAGGCACCGTGTTACGTGCTAGGAATATGAGAGCTGCAGTGAACAGAATCGATGAGATCCCTGCCCTTAGGGAGCAAACAGGAAGCAAATGATCACACAGATAAATACATAATTACATGTTACAATAATGTGCAATGAAGGGAAAGTATTGTGTTAATGAAGATTCTAATCAGGATTATGACATAGGTGGAGATCTAGTCTAGGAAGCACCTTTGAATTGATATGGTGAAATTTGATTAGATGGCAACCTTTCACTTTTTTTTAATTTAGTTTTTTTTTTTTTTTTTTTTTTTCATGAGAGAAAAAGAGTGAGGAAGGGAGGGAACAGGGATGCTTTCATCCATCCTGAATGCCCAGGAACTCAATCCAGGTCTCCTGTGTGGGCGATAACCCAACTACCTGAGCTGTTCCTACTGCTTCTCAGGAGGCATTAGCAGGAGGGTGGAATCAAGAGCCACAGCCAGAGCCCAGCCCAGGCATCCTGATGGACATCTCAGCTGCTAGGCCAAACACCTGCCCCCACCTTGCATCTTGAGGCTGCCGTTAAGTGTATATAATAAAATATTTGGGGAAATTTTCAGCAAGAATACTTCTTTTCATTTCTCAGTATCTGTTCCTATCCAGAGTGTCTCTCCAGCTCACATTGCAAGTTAGGTAAATGAATAGGGAACTTTTCCAGCAGTCTTTTTTTTTTTTTTTTGACAGATAGACAGTGAGAGAGACAGAGAGAAAGGTCTTCTTTCCGTTGGTTCACCCCCCACATGGCCGCTACAGCCGGCGCTGCGCCGATCCAAAGCCAGGAGCCAGGTGCTTCTTCCTGGTCTCCCACGCGGGTGCAGGCGCCCAAGTGCTTGGGCCATCCTCCACTGCCTTCCCTGGCCACAGCAGATAGCTGGACTGGAAGAGGAGCAACCGGGACTAGAAGCCAGCGCCCATGTGGGTTGCCTGTGCCGCAGGTGGAGGATTAGCCAAGAGAGCCACGGTGCCGGCCTCCAGCCATCATTTTGAATGTCTTTCTTCAAGGTACTTAAAAACTTAAACATCCCCTCTAATACTTTTTCCTCCTCTGGAGATGAACAGTTAGAGAACAAGAATCTTTTATGTGAGATTTGGATTTGAAGATGAGATTTCAATTTTTTTTTTCAGGAAAGCTAGACTAAAAGTGACAATCTTTTCTAATTTTAGATAAACAGTGCCATAATTATCAAAAGTACCCATTGTTGTTTACACTTTACAGGATGATTTAACTTAAAATTCTCACATCTTAGGAAGCAAAAAGGTGTGGTCATTCTAAGCCACTGCTTCAGATACTTGGCATCCTTTGGTCCTGGCTATTTTGTACTTCCTATCTAGTTTCTTGCTAAGCGCCTAGGAGGCAGCAGATGATAGCTCAAATGCTTGAGCCCCTGCCACCCATGTGGGAGAACCAGATGGAGTTCCAGGCTCCTAGCTTCCACCTGGCTTAGCCTCAGCTGTTGCTGGCATTTGGAGAATGAATCAGCAGATGGACAATTGATATGTCTGTCTCTCTTCCCGTTCTCTGTCACTCTGCCTTTCAAATAAAATTGTAAATTATTAAAAAAATAAAGTTTTTGCCTCTTTGGAAGCAAAAAAAAAAAAAAACCCTAATGGTGCAGATTGGGAAATAAAACTGTTAAATATATAAATATTTCAGTTGAACTTGTTTGAAGCCACTATGTTCATTGCAGTACATTAAATGCCATCTGCATACAAAGCATTGTCTTTAGGTGTACTGTGGAATAAATAAGATGAACTTGACAAAAGTCCTTAACTTCGAAGAGTTCAATTAGCACTAATACTCAGAGTTAAGGTTTTCTTCCTCCCTCCCTCCCTCCCTCTCTCCCTTCCTTACTTCCTATTTGAAGATTTATATATTTGAAATGAACAGTTACAGAGAGGGAGAGACAGAGAGAGGTCTTTCATTCACTGGTTCACTCCCCAAATGGCTGCAACAGCTGGGGCTGGGCTAAGCTGAAGCCAGGAACCAGGAGCTTCTTCCAGGGACTTGACCCATCTTCCTCTGCTTTCCCAGGCACCTTGGCAGGTAGCTGTATCAGAAACAGGGCAGCCAGGACTTGAACTGGGACTCAAACCAGTGCCCATATGGGATATTGGGGATGTATGCAGCATTTAACCTGCTATACCACAATAACAGCCCCTCTTTTTTTTTTTTTTTTTTTTTTTTGAAGTACTGTTGTATGTTGGCTTTTACGAGCTTTATAGGATAAGGAGAAGTATTAAGAAAATGGAGATTTTTAACCATAAAATTGTCAGGTCATGGTGATAAATAGTATATAGGGTGGGGCTGGTGCTGTGTCCTAGCAGGTAAAGTTGCCGTTTGCAGCGCTGGCATCCCACATGGGCGCTGCTCTCACTTCCGATCCAGCTCTCTGCCATGGCCTGGGAAAGCAGTAGATGATGGCTCAAGTCCTTGGGCTCCTGCACCCACGTGGGAGACCCAGAAGAAGCTCCTGGATTTGGATCAGCACAGCTCTGGCTGTTGCAGTCAATTGGGGAGTGAACCAGCATAAGGAAGACTCACACTCACTCACTCTCTCTCTCTCTCCCCCTCCTTCCCTCCCTCTCCCCCCTCCCCCTCCCCCTTTCCCCCTCCTTTCCTCTCTGCCTCTCTGCCTCTCTCTCTGTAACTCAGACTTTCAAATAAATAAATAAATATTTTGGCCGGCGCCACGGCTCACTAGCCTAATCTTCCGCCTTGCGGCGCCGGCACACTGGGTTCTAGTCCCGGTCGGGGCGCCGGATTCTGTCCCGGTTGTCCCTCTTCCAGGCCAGCTCTCTGCTGTGGCCAGGGAGTGCAGTGGAGGATGACCCAAGTGCTTGGGCCCTGCACCCCATGGGAGACCAGGAGAAGTACCTGGCTCCTGCCTTCGGATCAGCGTGGTGCGCCGGCCGCAGTGCGCCGGCCGCGGCGGCCATTGGAGGGTGAACCAATGGCAAAGGAAGACCTTTTTCTCTGTCTCTCTCTCTCACTGTCCACTCTGCCTGTCAAAAAAATTTTTTTAAAAAAATAGTATATGGGGTATGAGAAGGAGGTGTCAAGTGATTACTAGACTTCATACTAATGAAACTGAAGGCATGTGTGTGCTATTCACTGAGCTGGGACTTACTGGGATAAACCTTTGTTTTAAATCTGAGACAGTGTGACTTCAGATTTAGAAATGTTCAATTAGAGCTTCCTTGAGACCTCTTTTGACTTCCTGGGTTAGTACTCAAAACTGGGGTGGATTTTTACTGTTTTGGAACCCTCAATGTAGAGATGAAAGCTGAAACAGTGGGTGCAGGTGAAGATTGTCTAGAGAAACCATAGAACAAGGCTAAAAGGAGGATGACTGGGATGACAGGGGGTAGAGGAGGCTGAGCTTGCAAAGGAGACCAGGGTGGTAGCCAGGAAAATAAGAGGACAGGTGATGTGGGCGTCCCTGCAGGGCAGGTGGTCAGTACTGTGGCAAGCTCCTGTGAGAGAATTGAGAATCATTCATTGGAATCAGCAACATGGAGGTCTTTTGATGACCCTTGCAAGAAATGCTGATCTGCTGATAGGGGTGGGATGGCAGAGCAAGTGGGAGGCAAGGAAAAATGAGACATAGCAAGCTTGGGAAACTGCTTCCAAGAGTTTTGATTTCAGCATATTTACATACTGTTGGCAGGATTGATTGAGAGGGAGGGGTTGAATATAGACAAGAAAAGAATATACTCACTTGGGCAGATTTCCTGAAAGGGTGAGGGGAGATGAGATTCAAGGCAAAATGAGACGTGTGCCTCTGCTGGAAGGAGTACCACAGAGTACAGGCTTATAACCTGTATAAATCAGTAAGTACTTTGTTTACTGTGGGGCCTTAAGCAGATTCCATAAAATTGCCAAAGATTGTTAAATTCCTAAAAAAGCACCCAAGTTTAGCTAAGTTGTGACAGTCTTTCAGGAAACTTCACCACAGAAACAGCTTGTGAAGTTGATTTAATGTGTGACTTACCTTTGATTTCATCCACCTCAATAGAGTATATACCTTCATCTGACTTTTGATGATTTATTTCCCTTCTGAAAAAGAAGGCCTGGTAAATGTTAAATTTTGTGATTATTTTGCTACATGCTTATTTTTGGTTTCATAACAATGGTTTTCAGGTTACTTTTGTTTTCCTTGTTTTAAATAATTCTTGAAGTTTTAGTTTCTATTATTATTGGAGTATTTTACTTAGATACTACTAAGTTTCCTTCTTTGAATGCTTATTTAGTGGGTTAAATCAATGTGCTGAGTTGAAGATCCTTAAATAACCTTTTGGATAAGTTGAAATCCCCTCAGATAGTTAGATAATTGTTTGTGATGATATCTGTTATAAGGATATACTCCTACAGGGACAATGAATCATTCATGTATTTGGTATCTATTTTGCAAGGCACTGAGAATCTGGAAATGATT